GGAGGAGGCGGAGGAGGAGGAGGAGGACTGCTCTGTGGCAGCACGGCACTGCCTGTGTTCAGAAGCAGGGTGGGATGGAAGGAGGGCAGGACAGGGCTTCAGGCCAGGTCTGCGCCTGGGCTGCACTCAGGAAAGAAAGGCTGTGCTTACCAACTGTGGGCAGGACCTCCTCCAGCCACCACCCGCCCAGCACAAGTGGTGACATTTTACAGCAATGACAACCAAATGCCAGATGGAGGTCACGCAGCAGGGGAGGCAGGGCTGGGCCTGCGCCCAGAGACAGTGGACAGTCCCGCTGGCGGTCTAGCAAGGATTACTCCTTGTCTCCAGCTGCAGCAGCCAGGGAGAGGTGGGCCTGGGCTGGGACAGCAGGAGGTGGCAAGACCAGGACCCACCCCGGGAACGGAGCCCCAGGTGCCAGCACTGTGAACCCCACAAACGCAGCAGAACAGAGTGGGGGCCGGGAGGGCGCTGCTGTCCCCGAATGGCATCACCACCCACAGGGCTCGAGGACCCACTGGCGCCTCACCCGTGGGCCTGTGTCTGTCTGCAGCGGAGCCGCAACCTGGGAAAAACTCAGCTGCCCTCCCCGGCCCTCAGTCCCACTTGCAAAGCAGATGGGTGGCCACAGGCTTCTATGGCTGCCCACGTCCCTTCTCACAGGTGCCAGGTCCGCCAAGGCACAGAGCCCATCCTGTGCCACATCAGAACAGAGCCCACCGAGACAGGTCCACCTGGCACATGGCAGGGAAGATAAAGGACCACCCAGTCCGGAGCCATGACAGGACAGGGACAGAAGGGCTGTGTGCAGAGCAGAGCAGAGCGGAGCGGAGGAGCAGATGGGGACTGGACGTGGCATGGAGGTGGGTTTGTGGAGTCGTGGGAAGGGCTGGGGAGGCAGGCGATGCTCGTGGGGACGCCGGGCCTGCGGATTAGGGGAGTGGGGGCTGATGCTGCTGCGTTACCAGCTGCCCAGCCCTCAGAACATCACTTCCACTCAGTAACATGGGGCAGAAACCACACACCTGCCCCAGGTCCCTTCCCTCTCCTCCTCCCTCCGAAACCCAGTGTACTTGGAGTGGGAACAACCGCAATCTCCTGCTTCCGTGCACACATGGCGGACTTCGGCCGACACGAAACACAGAAAATCGCCGGACGGGCCACCTCAAAGGGGTCCTCCTCCCTTCTCTACCACTTCCCATTTGAAACACTGCTGAGGTGGCTAGAGCTCCTGCAGCTACCCTGGGCTGTGAGGCAGTTCTGAAGCTGGACACAGAGTCCGCATGCCTGGTGCCTGGGCTCTGGATCTGCACCGTACCACTGCTCTTCTGTGTGAGCGGAAGGAGGATGGACACACAGTCACAGCCTTGGGTGCTGCGGGCGAAAGCCTGCCACCACCCACCTGGATGCCTGTGTGTGTCCCTCAGCTCCACCCCACACCCGAGGTGGCCTGCACAGCCTGCCATCCCAACCCACAAGGACTTCTCCGCAAGAGTCCGACCTGCCTCTGCCTCTCCTCCTCTGGCCATGGACAGAGCTCCAGCCTGCCTTGGTCTCCCCTGCATCTGTGCAGATGGTGTCAAGGGGCAGTGCCCGACCCTCCTCGCCTCCCCACGGGCTGCTGAGGACCTGGCAGGGTGAGCTGGACCCCAGGCCGGCACCGAGGGGAAACCAAGTGCCCGCTCCTACCTCCAGGTACTTGACCGGGATCTTGTGCTTGGTGGCGTGTGACTGGGCCAGAGGTGCGAGCTCGGCTGCGTGCTGCCCCTTCTTCTTCAGGATGCCGCCCAGTGCGGTGAGCACGGTGGTGCCGTGCTTCTTCAGGTCCTCACTCCCCCGCATCTCATCCTCACTTTTCAGGTGCTTGAACTTGTCGAACTTCTCCAGCGTCTCTGGGTGGCCCTTAAAGAGCCTAAGCATGGAGGGGACGGGGTCAGAGGGGACAGGGTCAGGGGGACCTGCTGCAGGGACCCTCAGCCTCAGCGAATGGGCACCACACCTGCCAGGTACCTCGAGTGGCCAGAGGCTGCACTGGGCGGCCACCTTCAGGCATGGGCCCGAGTTTGCTTCTGGGCTTGGGGAGAGCCCTGGCTGGGGAGCCCTGTGCAGTGGCATCTAATGGCAGAAGAGACTTCTGGGCCTCTCCCAGGCGGGCCCCAGGAGGTCCAGGAGAGGGGACTGGGGGGCACAGTGGATGGAGCCCTCCGTGCTCGGTTGCATGGGGATCCAAGGATCTGGCCGGTGGACCATGAAGGGCCCTGGGGACGGGCAGAGCTCCATGCTCAGCACTCTTGCCTGCAGAAATGCTCTCACCTCTAGCAGGCTCTTTGTGGGTCAGACCCTGGCCCAGAGTCCTGGCCGCATCAGGGACTCACACCTGAGTCAACAGCAGGCTCCGTAACACACGTGCCTCTCGTGGGGAAAAGCCTGGGAGGGGACTGGGAGACAGGCAGGAGCCCGAGGACACGGCAGCTCAGACCCAGCTTCCGTCGCATTGGCGGCTGCTCAGGCCTGTCACCGCTGTATACACTCAGGTGACACAAACATACGCACTTGAGTGGGCTCCTGCAGCGACTCAGTGGGCGGGGCTCTGAGGATCTGGCCGCCTGTCCCCTGCCGCGACCCCTGGAGCCCAGCCAAGCTGCCCAAGTCAGTGTGTCTCTGCCACCTCCCCTCCCAGCGTCCTGGCGCCTGACTATTATTATCTGGTGACAATGATGCCTGAGTCCCCACTGACAGGTGCAAGCCCAAAGGAGGGCCAAGGTCAGGCCTGGAGGAGCTGGGCAGGAGGGGCGAGGACAGGCCCAGGCCAAGGCCTCACTCTTTGGCGTCCGTGGCTGCCACAAACCAAGTGCCTCTGTCTGGAAGACACTGATCCCTGCACTTGCAGTCCCAACAGCACGGGAGCCTGAGGCTGACCCCCTGCCTTGTCCTTGGTGCAGACCTGGCTGGGGTCAGTGGGTGGGGAGTCCCAGTTTTGCCTTTGCTCTCCTGGTGATCCAGACTGGTCTCAGGGACATCAGTGAGCAAGGCCAATCCACTGCCCCCTGCACTGAGGTCCAACTGGACACCCACATGGTACCAAGGACTCTGTCTTATTCCGCAGGAGCCAGACACCCTGAGGGTGGTGCGCTGTGTGACCTTGGGCCAATCCCTCAACCTCTCTGTTCAAGGAGATGGTGATACGGAGAGGCTGGAGTGAGTACTTAAACCTGGCCTGAGGCTGACACACAGTGTGTCTGCCGCCTTGTCTTTGTCCCCACTTTCCTTACCACCAGCACCCTCACCAGGACCGGCTATGGCCTGCATGAACTCTTGGACATTTCCTCCCTGGAGCAGGAGAGGCTGCACCAGCAGTGGCTTCCAAACATCACCATCCTGGGAGACTTGGCTCCAACAAAAAATACCAGTGTCCTGGGTGTGTCCTGCCTCAGCCTTCCAAGCTCTGTGACCACGCCCTCAGCGTGAGGCCTCACATCATGAGTCACCGCCTCTCCTTACGGCCAGGGCTGGGAGAGGTGACCTTGCCCGCTCAGCAGAGCACAGGTCATCACAGCCGGGAGGCCCCCACCCTGCACCCCACGCTGGACAGATGGATGTGGCCATGTCCTGCCCCCGGCATGTGACAGGGCAGCACTCCCTGGCTGTGTGTCCCCTCCTGGGAAGGCAGGAGATGCCTGTGACACCCACCTGGCTGCCCAAGGCTCCTCAGAACTTGGGCACTGCCTGGGCTGGCAGTGCCCGTCACCTGCAAGGCCCAGTTTGGCACCTTGTGCCCCTCCTGCCCTCTCCAGTGTAAGGGAGCCCAAGACTCAGGGTCCCCTCACTCCACCCAGAGGCTCAGGCCCAGGGAGAGGATGGGGAGCCCAGGGCTGCATGATAACCAGGGCTTGTAGCTGATGCCAACTTGGGGTTTGGGTTCACTCAGTGAGATGAGCCCTGGCGCAGCCCGGCAGCCAGAGGCGGACAGAGGTCAGGACACCCCAAGGAGCTTGGGGGTCAGTGGGACGCGCAGGAGGCTGGCCTGGCTGGGCCCAAGGGAGGAGCCCTCTGTGTGGTGCAGCTCGCCCTGTCTCCTAAAGGGGCTTGAAGGGCACCCATTCCTGTGGCCACTGGGACCTGCTCCCTCCCCGAGGCAGCCAGGACCCAGCTAGGATGGTAGGAAGGGTAGGAGACGGCTGCGGCTGGCAACACCATTGAGAGGGTGGGGCTCTGGGTGTGTGTGTGTGTGTCTTGCACCAGCTGCACAACCGTCACCAAGCATGGTGTTCAGGATCTGCTTCAGACTGCTGGCAGGAGGGGTGGGGAGCCCTCGTCCTGGTTGCTCAATTCAGGGACCATTGGCCCTACTTCTCTGACTGCGGGGCGCATGGAGGTGGTGTCACTGTGACAGTCACCAGCATTATAGGAGCGCACTGCACCTGGGGAACCCTCCAGGTCCCTGCGTGTTCATCTCTGTCTCACTCCTGCGATGCAGGTGCCAGGCATCCCCTCCGTGTTAGAGAGGACACTGGGCTCAGAGAGGCGGCCTTGTCCTCGATGGCTCACGTCGGTCAGCACAGAGCCACCTCCAGAGCTCCATCAGCCCCACCTTGGCCACACCTGAGCCTTGACTTTATGGACCTCGGCGTGCTTGTGGCTCTGCTGGACAATGCCTGCACAATTCTGACTGCGATTAGGACCCCTGGTGGGCCCTGGGCACCCTCCTCGGCCCCCCCGAGCTTCCTCCAGTGCTGGTTGCCGGATGGACCCTTCCCCTTTCCTGGACCGGGAGGCGAGAGGGAACCAGAGGAGGTGGCGGTCTCCACTGCGGCTGCCTCAGCTGGCTCCCCCGGCCAGCCTCCCACCTGGAAGCCTGGGCCCTGTGGGGACGCAGCTCCTTTACCTGATGAGGACTTCCTGCCCGTGGCCGCCGATATCCCCCTCCACCTTGCCCCAGACGTTCAGCACCAGTTGCCACTCCCCGTCACTGAGCCCCATGGCGTCGAGAGCAGAAGAGCGGGCGCAGTCTGTGGTGTCAGGAACAACTGGGGCGGAGGCTGCCTGGACTAGGCTTTATACCTGCTGGGTCCTGACGTGGTCACTCGATGCCATGCCCCTCCTGTCTGTCTTCCTCAGGGTCTAATCTGTGTCCTCACATGGGTGCTATTTTGGGGCAGCTGCCATTGTGGGGAAGCAGCACAGCTCCGGCCACAGGGGTGGGGAGCAGGGCATGGAAGGGGAAGAAAGGGCACCGCCCAGGCCCCTGCCAGCCCCTGAAAGCCAACCCTCCCTGTGCACTGCCTGGGAGGGCCAGGCCTGACTCCCCTGGGCACAGATGCCCTGCTGGTCCCAGGACAGGTGGCCAGTCTCCTGCTGCACTCCCGGGTTCCCTATGCCCCCACCAGTCTGGGACAGCGCCTGGTTACCTCCCCCACCCCCGGGGAGCCCTGGCTCCGTGTCCTTGCTCCCGGAGGTCCCCAGGAGAGTCGTGCCTGGCTTGCTCCTCAGTCACAGCTCCTCCTGCCATCCTCGTATTTATAAACACTGCTGTTGTGCTGCTTGCTGCTGCCTTGGGCCATGTTTCCTTGTTTCCATGCTGGCTCCTCCATGAACTGCGGCCGACGCTCCCAGCCTTTGCCTGTCCCAGGACTTGGGCCACGAGCTTTACCCGAAGTGACTCATTTAACCCCAGCAGCCCTAGGAAATGGGTCTTGACAACGTTCCCTTTAATCGGGGAAGTGAGGAAGCGTGCCATGCACAGACAGCTGCTAACTAGGAAGTCAGGCCCGAGTGCTGCTCTTGCAACCTTCACTTGGTTCCCATGAGGCAGGGGTTCTGTTTGGTTCATTTGTGTCTTTGGGACTCACAGTGCCCTCTACCGAGTTTGAGCTGAATAAATATTTGTTGAGTAAACATGGATGGCTCTACCAGGAAGGCAAGTGCAGGTAGATTGGACTCCTTTTACTCCACGCAGTCCCATCCGTGTGTTATTCCTCCATTACTCATTCGTCGGTCTACCTTCATGCGTCTCTCATCCCTCCCTTCCTCCCTTCATCCACGCACCGCCCACCACCCACCTATCCTCATCCATCTATCTGTCCATCCATCCATCTGTCTGTCCATCCATCCATCTGTCCATCTGTCCATCTGTCCATCCACCCACCTATCCTCATCCATCCATCTGTCCATCCATCCACCTATCCTCATCCATCCATCTGTCCATCCATCCATCTGTCCATCCATCCATCTGTCCATCCACCCACCTATCTTCATCCATCCATCTGTCCATCCATCCATCTGTCCATCCATCCACCTATCCTCATCCATCCATCTGTCCATCCATCCATCTGTGCATCCATCCATCTGTCCATCCATCCACCTATCCTCATCCATCCATCTGACCATCCACCCACCTATCCTCATCCATCCATCCATCTGTCCATCCATCCACCTATCCTCATCCATCCATCTGTCCATCCATCCACCTATCCTCATCTATCCATCTGTCCATCCATCCATCTGTCCATCCATCCATTTGTCCATCCATCCACCTATCCTCATCCATCCATCTGTCCATCCATCCATCTGCCCATCCATCTATCTGTCCATCCACCCACCTATCCTCATCCATCCATCTGTCCATCCATCCATCTGTCCATCCATCCACCTATCCTCATCCATCCATCTGTCCATCCACCCACCTATCCTCATCCATCCATCTGTCCATCCATCCTTCACCCGTGCACCTATCTGCCTTTCATCCGTTATCCTCTCATTTATCTATCCATGTGCATCTCTTCCCCCACTTCCTCCTTCCACCTGTCACCCGTCATCTCTGTCCACCACTCACCATCCATCCATCCACCCACCTATCCACCCATCACTCAGCCATACCACAAACACAGTACGTCAGACACCATGTGTTATGCTCAGGATAGCAAAGCAAATACAACTCAGGGTCTTTGGGGAGATAAGTACGAGGATTAAATGTACAATGCTGGGATGAAGGTGCTCACAAACTCAGGGCTTACAGTTTATTAGTGCCTTGCAACCAGCTCACACCTGACCTTGCCAGCTCCCCTGGGGATGTAACTGGCACCTGGAGCAGGGCCTTCAGTACCAAGGAGGAACAGCAGGAGGGAGCTGGCATCTCTATCATCATTTTTTTTTTGGTACCAGGGATCAAACTCTGGTCCTTGTGCTTGTGAGGCAGCCAGTGGCAACACTGAGCTAAATCCCTGGCATCTGCCATTATTTTACATCTGTCTTTATCGCCTCACACTCTGGATCAGATCCCTGTTTGGCTCTGTGCACTGTTCGTTAATCACTTGAGGAGAGTCTGCTAGAAACTGATAATGCATGGTGTCTTGGTCCCAAATGTACCCACCTCGCCGCGTCTCCTTTCAGGGCTGAGGCAGGGCTCCAAGGAGCATTCCGCTGCCAGTTTCTACAGCATCCTGTTCCAAAAGCCTGGAGCGACGCCTCAGAGTCTCCAGTCATCGTCCCCAACCTGTAGTCCCCGGACCCCAGGACGGCAGGGCCTCACAGACCACCCCACCACCAGCTCACCTGACCTGCCCAGGGCAGGTGCCTCATAGGAACCGGTGCCCCCTGACCCATCAGGACCAGTCCTGAGGTGGCAGCCAACTGGACCCCAGCTTGACCAGGATCCCCTATGCTCCCAGCTGTGCAAACCCAGACCTTGCCCCGGCCCCTTTCCAGTACAACCCTGAAGCTCCTGCCTCCCGAAGACAGGCCCACAGCTGCTCTATCAGTCCTCCCACCCAGCTCAGCCTCTCTGAAGAAAGTGTTCTTCCCGCTGGTCCCACTGCTGCCTCTTTGCTTGGCGACAGGGAAGGTGGCTGTGCCTGGACCCCTGGGGCCCAAACCCCAGTAGCAGGAAGCACAGTGCCAGTCTCTTGGGAGCAGAGCCAGGGCTTGTCCTAAGGCTCTGTAACACTAGCTGTCTTGCTGACAGCTGAGGTTCTGAAAGGATCAGGAATGTCTGGCTGTCCACGACTGCATAGCCCCAGCCTCTGCTGAGGTGTCACTTTCAGGGACCCACATTCTCCCTTGAGCCTGTCTCCAGGGCCAGCATGGGACCTATTGCCACAACGTTAGGGGTGGGGTACACAGCAGGCACTTTGAGGTGGCAGGAAGAGTCGCATTTGTGGCCAGTGCGGGGCTCAGTCCCAGGCTGAGGTCTCCTTGTAGGGTGACCACGAGCAGTACTTTCCCTGAGACTGGCAGGTGGCCTCTCTGTGAGTCCTATGTGAGCAGATTCCCAAGAAGCCATGAGGCCTGTGGGGCCAGGCTGCTGCCTCCTGACATCCAGGAGCAGACCCAGCATGGCCAGACCCCACCCTGCCCTTTGGTCTGCAGCATGGGTCTAGTCCCAGGCAGCGTGCAAGGGGAGAGGCTGTCCTGGCAGTCAGCCCTGCTCCTGGGGCCACAGCCATGGCCCAGGCTGGCTGGGGCACCTGCCCTGTGTGCTGGGTCACAACCTTGACACCTCTGCCAGGATCTGTGGCTCAGGGCTGTGGTTTCGGTGTCCACGCTGGTTAGCACTGGGAACATGTGGCTTCCCTAGGGGCGGTGGCTGAGCTCTCCAGGGATGCCTGGGTGTTTCAAATCTCATCAGGAATTAGCAGCAGCACTGAGGTATTGAATGCAGAGCTTGGCAGGAGCCCCATCATGCCTTGAAGTTGACGAGGCTTTCAGGTTTCCAGTTAAGCTAACAGGAAGACACTGCTGTCCTACACCAGAGTGGTGCCTGTAGGTACTGTGGCCACCTGGAGCGGCTGTCACTGTCACTATAAGGGCTTCATTACCACTGGCCAGGGAGGCAGCAGACAGATGGGGAAGCCAGGCTCTCCCCAGCCCTGTTAACAGGCTCCTGTCATGCATGTTTTTGTGATCCCCTTGGGCACACTGGATCCCAGCAGGTCTGTCTCCTTATTTCCCAGGGTGTTTTGTGTCCCCAACCTGAGCATGCAGAATCAGCCTCAGACCTTCCAATTCTGGATCCAGAGATCCAGGATGGAAATTCTACAGGGCCGAAGCCTCCAGTTGTCACCAGCAGCATGGGTTCTGATTTCCAAGTCACAGAGAGCTAGAGATGGTGCCTTCTGCAACTGTGGGCTCTGAGGCCCTGAAGTAAGAGTACTTCAGTGCCCAGTCCAGTTCCCAGGAGGTGTCATTCTCTCTAGTCCCTCACATTAAGCATCTGCTTGAATATTTGTAGGGTCAGTGAGCCCACTACCCAAACCTTTAAGGTATTTTCCTGCCCCACCCCTCCTGTGCCTGGGCCGGCCCTGTCTCTTGCATGAGAGAGGCCAAGTCTCACCAAGACTTTCCCTATGTGGCCTGAACACTTGTGGGACTCTCCAAGCTCCACAGGCCAGGCCAGGCAGGAGCTGATCTGCTACAGGTGTGGTTTCCCTCTTGCCTCTGCCACTGCACACAGAGGGAATCCTTGCAAGGCCTCCATTGCCTGCCAGGTCCTACTATTGGAGAATGGGGGGTCCAGGCTCTGTGGCCAACAATGCCCTTAGCAAGTCTAGGAGATTTTACCTTAGTCCTCACCAAAGAAACCAAAATGTGGAGAGAAAGTAGACACTTTGACTCCTACACCCTGTCAGTGAACCTCCTTCCGGAGCTGGCCTGGGTGGGGCCCCTACTTCTGCCTGAGGCCTGGAGTTGGTGGGAGTGGCTGGGGCCCACTGGAGCCCACACTATTGCTGTGCCTTTGACCCCTGTGTGACTGTCACACTGACCACTTCCTCAGTGTCCCTGGGGCCAGAGCTGGGACCAGGGCAGGGAAAGAGCAGAAGCATTTCTTGGCTGTGGGACCTAGAAAAGCAGTGTCCCTGGTAGGATCCTGTGGTCCCTGAAGGCCTAGGTGGGTGTCTGGCTGAGGAGGGCTGGCAGGACATGGTCCTTGTGTGGCAGGTGTAGCCTTTCCATCCTCTCCCCTCCGGCCCCAAGGGCTCTTTGTGAGGCCCCTGCACCCCACCTTCTATTATCACTTTGAACCCCACCTGTACCCCTCTTTCTAGG